TTTACTTTTTGCTCTTTCCAGTCTTTAGGGTAAATTGGTGTTTGATTTTTTTTGGCCAGCACTCTCTTCCTTCCTGGGAGAAGGTGGCTTGGATTCTAGGGTTTGGGGCCTTAATCCTGATGGTTTGTTCTCTTGCAAAACTTTCTTTAACTCCCTGGTAGCCACCTCCCCTTCTCCTTTCCTAGTCAAGGAAGTTTGGTGTTTTCCTAACTCCCAAAAATCAATGTTTTCTGTTGGGAAGTGTTTCGTGGCTGTATTAATACATTTGACTTGCTTCAAAGATAAAGACCAAACTGGTGTTTTCCCCCCCAGCTGGTGCTTCCTTTGTATGTTAAACGGTGAGACTGCTTTTCATTTCTTAATCTCCTATCCTTTTGTTAGCTTATCTGGAATTGGTTTTCTTTTCCTTTTGGATGCAGATGGTCTTCTTTTGGCAGTTTGGAAGGATTGTTTAGCCCTATTGTTTTTAGCTGTACTAAAAGGAGGGGCAGGATTTTGGGGAGATGTACTAGAGCAGTGGTGCTTTGGACTGTTTGGGAGGAAAGGAACTCAAGAATTTTTGAAGATAAAAGAAAGAAATAAGGAAGCTTTGGTAGAAGTCATAACTCTAAGAGTGGTACACTGGGCTAAAAGTCTGAAACTTTTCTCAGATTTTAAAGTTGAGGACTTCTTCAGGTCTTGGGGTGTAATTGCTGCCTCATTGCCCATAAAAACAGAAAATAGTTGATTGGTCACCCCTAAATTGTGTCTGGAAGAAACTGAATTTTGATGGAAGTTGTGTGGGCAATCTGGGCCGCTTAGGCATAGGAGGGGTCATTAGAGATGAGGAAGGAAATATCATAGTCTGAACAAGGTGATGTGGTTACATCAGAGCTATTGGCTGCAGTATATGGGGTTGAGAAGGTTTTGGTATTGATAGACTGCTCATTGAGGATGATTTGAGAACTGTTGTGAACTGGCTGATGGGGGAGGGGGTGTCATGGCATCTAATAATTGAACTCAAGCGATTTAATGGCTGTAAAATGACATGACAATTCCAAGTTGAATGGGTTAGGAGAACTGCCGACAGTCTGGAAGATGGTTTAGCTAAGCAAGGGGTACAATCAACTTCCTTGTATTGGGCTCAATTGTAATTCTTTGGATGGTTTCTAAAGCTAATTTTTTCTCTTTTCCCACAACCTCTTGTAATTATTTTCTCTATTTTTAATGAAATCATTTGTGTTGCTGATAAAAAAAGAATAAAAAACCCGGTAGGTAGCAAGAGTAAATTTTATCCAGGAAATCGTAGCCCCTGAGGAGGTGTAATTCCTCTTTCACGCCGCTAGCTTCTTGGCACACCTTTCTAACATTGGAATCCAAAAACTACTTTCTTTTGGGTTTGTACCTAATGGGAGGTCTAAATAAGTTAAGGTCCAACTAGGGGTAGAACACTCTAAGCAAGCAGCTATTAAGTCTAATTCCCCTTCAAATTGATTCCTGCAATCTTGCAATGCAGCTCTTCTCCAAATTTGTTTTTAAATTTGATAACAATTTTAAACTCTTAACAACAGCTTTCAAATTTCTCACCTTTGTAAGGTTGCACCCTTTGCAGAAAATTATTATATCATCTGCAAATTGAAGGTGGGTGACTGCAATGTTATTCCTTCCCACTCTCCAGCCTTTAAAATCCCCTTCCCGATCAGCTTTGCAGATTAACCTGTTGAACACATCAGCTATACAGGTAAAAAGGAAGGGTGAAAGGGTTCCCTTGTCTTAAGCCTCTACAAATAGGGAAGAAATCATTGACTGTCCCATTAACCAAAACGGAGTAGTGGCAAGATTGTAGGCAGCCAATTATCCACTCACACCACCTATTTCCAAGGCCATAGATTTTCAGAACTCGAATAAGGAAAGTTCAGTCTACCAAATTGTATGCCTTCTCCAAATCTTTACAGACAAAATCTTTACTCCTTGTCCTTCTCAAGGATAGGACCTGAAATACAAATCACTAGATTGATGGGCTTGAAATCCTTTGGGTGACTAGTATTGGGCCTTTTACGTATCAAAGCTAGGAATATGGTGTTGATCCCCAAGCTTACAACGTGGGCTATCTGAAAACTCAAAGAACACCTCACGTGAGTCATCCTTCACCACATCCCATCAATCTTGATAGAAAGCCATGGTAAAACTGTGCAGACCAGGGGCCTAGATCTATCCATTGAGAAAACTGCTTTCCTTATTTTTTCTTCTTCAAAGTTTTTCTCCTACCATCTAACTGTATCATTACCCAAATTTGGCGATTCCAGTCCTTCCATTCTTATCCTTTCATTGAACTGCCTTCTAAAAATAGACTTAAAATGGTCCACAAAAATCCTAGCTATCTCTTATTGATTAGTTAAGACTTCCCACCCACCTCTAGTTTGGCCACAAAATTTTTCCTTCTTCTTTCATTTGCTAATGCATGGAAAAACATAGTATTCCCATCCCCTCCTTGATCCATCTATATCTTGCCTTCTACCTCCAACTGATCTCATCCTTTTATAAAGCACTTCTTCCAATTCCTTCTTCAAGTTTCGCCTTACTTCTCTTTCTTCCTCATTAAGATTAGACTGATTCTCCTCATCCAATTCCTCAATTCGAGTCATAAGATTCAGCTTCCTTTCCTCTAATATTGTGAAATGATCCTTGTTCCATTCCTTAATCCTTAAGGTGCTCCCATCATTGCAGTACAATCGACTGTTGTTGACTATTAATAATAATGATTTTATCTACTATAGAATAGAGGAAAAAGGAGATGGTAGAATATCTATCTATTTACTTGGTATCCAAGAAAGATTCTTGATAGATAAATGTTGAGAGAAGTGGAGGATTATTTCAAGGATAATGGAGGTGTGGTGATCCTGGTATATGTTGGATCATTTGGCACAAGGGATTGCATGAGAAGTGAACTCAACTTAACTCATCTCAACTTAGTCTTGTCCTAACTATATGGGGTTGGCTATATGAATCCTTTCCGCCATTCTGCTCTATTCAGTGCCATATCCATTCTTTAATTATGTGCTCTCAAATCAATTCATGAGAACAAAGCTTTTATCATTTATATAGGGACTTACCAGTGCACGGCCTTCAAAATAGATCCATTGAGATGGGTGGGATATAGTCCCCATATTGGATTCCTAGATCTGCCAATTCTACAAGGTAGCCTCATGAGGGCTGTGCATTTTTATTTTGATCGGTAAAATATTTTATCAAGGGCCTGATTGGTAAATGATTCGATCCGATCCAAAGTCCGATCCATTTTGTTGGATTTGGATATCCCCATTTTGGATTTTCGGATCAGATTGGATCGGATAATAGGATCCAATTAAAAATTGGATCAAAGTCGGATTGCCCCCTATCCGATTTGAAAGGATCAAACCTGATATATATATATATATATATAGGATCGGATCAAATTTGGATATCTGACATCCTTGTCAGATTCGAATTCAAATCAATGTTTGTGAGATCCGGATCTTCGTATAGGATCAGACTTACAGTTTATAGTATTGAATCGGATTCAGATATACCCTGATTCAAATCCGATCCGATCTGTTTGCATCCCTATTTGGAAGGGCTGAAGCTTTTGTCAAGTTACTTTTGTTGAACTTCTTTGGAGGAGCCACTAAAACAAACTTTCTGGAAAAGCCATTTTTTGGCTGAAATACATCTAATTTAGGCTTTTCGAGTTCTTCACCAAACATTGCTTATAGGCTGCCTAGATGGGGCTCACCTTACTAAGCCAAAAGCCACTATGTGAAAGCCCTCCCAATGGGCACTAAAATTAAAAGAACATAGAAAAGTATGCAAAAGCTCCTCAATTGCATTTTCTTTTCTATTTCATGGTTTTTTCTTGAGGCTCGGGGTCCGCAATTATTTTCATTTTCATGTATGAATATACTCTTGGTCTTTTGCTGACACTGGGTGCAAGAATGTGATAGACATTATCACAAAACTTTCAATTGTGTTTTTGGAACATATCCTTTCATTAAATTAAAAGTTCAAAACTGACCTTTCATTTTTTCTTTTATAAATAAGGGAGAATTTTATTAAACTTTTTCAAGAGTACACTCAAAAACAGTTTGTTTTTTTTTTTGATAAGTGCACACTCAAAAAAAGTTAGCCTCAGCTAACCAATAAGGAACTTACAACATAACCAATAAGCAAACAGAACTCTATGAGTAAATCAACAGAAAAGAAGTTCAACCCGAACCCTTAAGTTTTCCCCCAAATAGTTTATAATGTAGCCCAGAAAAGGTGGTCTCTAAATGTGCCCTGTTTTGTAAGATGGTCTGCTATGTTGTTTACTGATCTATGAACCCACTGAATCTTTTTTTTTTTTGAAGATAAAAAAAGAAGAAAATTCATTAAATGGAGAAAGGCACAAGGTAATAGGTGCTGAGGCATCACCCAAAATACAAAACAAATGATAGAAACAAACAAAACTAACAGAGACTAACAGCCTTCAGATGCATATGCTTTCGATCCAATTAAGACAAGTTCAAGGAGTGAAACTTCAATTGCATGCCCCTTGTGAAACCACTTAGTTTTTTTAATTTCATTTCTGAACTCCCACAAGACTTCCTCTGAATACAGCAACCAACTTATCACAGTCTTCGATTCTCCATCAGTAGCAAGTTTTTCCAACCCCCAATTCCATAGCCTTTTGCATCCCATACATTGCTGCCATCAGTTATGCTCTCCTGGAGTCTCCAACCCCTATTGGTCCTGAGAACAAAGTACAGATCTCTCCTTTTTAGCTACTAAGGACCCCTCCTATACCTGAGAGTCCTGGGTTGCCAATGCTGCTGCCATCAAAATTTATTTTAATAAAATCTGGCTCCAGATGATATGAACTCCTCACTGTCTTTTGCTTCCTAGATGAGAACTCTTCATTTTTATCCTGGGTTGTTTATGCTGCTTACCTAGTTACTGTCAATAACTACTAATGCAGTTTCTTCTTCTCTTAAATATGGCTTCAGGTTGCTGAATTCAATGTGCAAGCAGCTCAGCAAGGAATTGTCTACATTGATGAAGTTGATAAGATCACTAAGAAGGTCATTTATTTTTCTTTCTTTATTCTTTTTGGAATATTGGTAGAATGCATTGATTTATGTATTGGCCACATACATCATTGTTAAGGTTTTTGCAGGCTGAGAGCTTAAACATTAGCAGAGATGTATCTGGTGAAGGTGTTCAACAGGCATTACTGAAAATGCTTGAAGGGACTGTGAGTTCATGAAACCTAAACTGCTGTCTTCATTTCAATTTTATTATTACTAAGAAAATTTCTATGTGAACTTTTGACAAGTAGTGCTGGTTATGGGGATTCTACTACTATTTTTTTTCTAGTAAGTTGTATCATTTTTTTTGTAGGTTAAATGAAAAGTACAAATAAAAGATAGATACTGGTTTTACATATTTTGATACCCAGTTTTGGAAAGATTCACAAAGAGGTTGGTAGGGCGGAAGAGAAATTACATATCACTAGGGGGTAGAATCACATTAATCAAGTCTACTTTGGTCAACCTATGGTGTGTGTTTCTTGTCCACTTTCAATCTACCTGTCAAGGTTGCAAATCAGATTGAAAAGCTTATGAGAGATTTTCTTTGGGAGCCAAGGGACTCAAAAAAGGACCATCTAGTGAAGTGGGAAGTAGTTTCCAAGAAAAGGGAACATGGGGGCTTAGGCATTGGTAATATCATATTAAGAAACTTAGCCTTGTTAGGGAAGTGGCTATGGAGATTTCTCTTTGAGCATGATAGTTTGTGGCATTTGGTGGTAGTAAGTATTCATGGAATGGTGGAAAATGGATGGTATGCTAGTATCGACCCTAGGGCTTCTCATTTCTCCCCTTGGAAAGTCATTGTTGGAGTCAGCCTTCCTTTCAACCTTTCATCAGATATGATGCTTGCTCAGATAACAAAATTCTGTTTTGGGGGGATATTTAAATTGGAAGCACTCTCCTTAAGAAAAATTCCGAGTTATGTATTCTCTTTCTTTAAATAAATTCAAGGTTTTTTCCTCCTTACGTGTGTCTAAGGGTTTTTTGGATCTAGGCCTGAAAAGAGGGTTGAGGGACTTAGAAGTGGCTTTTGGAGATGAGTTGTTCTCCCTTTTAAGTTTAGTTTTCCTAGATCAGTCTTGCCTAGATAATAGAATTTGGTAGGAGTCCTTCGGTTTCTTCTCTTGCTCTTTATTTTTCAATGCATTGCTTTAGTTTGCTATTGTGGTGTACTCCTGTTCCACCAACGGTTTCAGGCTTTCTTTTGGGAAGCGGTTCTCCAAAAGATCAATACTATGGACATGCTTAAAAGAAAAAAAAAAGCCAAATTGGTGCCTTTTCCCACATGTTTGTATCCTTTGTTTGAGTGGTGAGATTGCGAGATTCATCTATTAATCTCTTGTTCTTTTGTATCTTATATCTAGAATGGTTCTTCTCTCTCTTTGGATGTAGGTGGAATCCTCCCTTGTGTGTGGTGAACTTTTTTGACTCTAGCTTCTTCCAACAACCAAAGATGAGGGGTAGGGTGATGTGCAGAACAATAAGAGCAGTAGTCCTATGGTCGGTTTGGGAAGAAAGAAATAACAGGATTTTCCAAGGGCAAGAAAAATCCAAGGAAGCACTTTTTGAGGGCATTACCATCAAGATTATACATTGGTTGAAAGCTTTGCAGCTTTTCAAGAACTTCTCTTCTACTGACTTAATTAGAGGTTGTTTATAAACTTCTTCCTATGAATCTAATATAGGAAGGAATTTTCAACATCCAAATGATAAAGAGGCCAATCTCATGTAGTAACAACAGGTAAGAGAATGTGGATTGAATTTATTTTCGCCACTAGAGCAAAATGTTTCTATAGAGTTCAGTGTTTTAAAAGTGCAAGGCACAAAAAAAGTGCAAGGGCCATTTTGCACCCAAGGCACAAGGTGAGATGCATGCCTTTTTGAAGTAAGGCACAAAAATGCAAAAAATTCTAAAAAATGCTAAATATTAAAAATATTAAACACATTATTAATTAAAAGTATAAACTTAAGTTTTAAAATGAATGCTCTAAAAACCTATTATCTCAAATTAAAATACATAAACATAACATGTAATGCATATTTAAAATGAAAGTTTAAAAATAAAGTCAACCATAACATATAAAAAATATTCAAGCATGTAAACATATTTGCTACTGTTGCTCATTCATTCATTCATCCAAATGAAAGATAGTTTTAAAAGACACTTAAAGTTATTAAACCTTTTTTTTATAGGGATTGAGAATTTAAGACCTTGATATGGACTTGTTTGGGCTTGCCTTGAGGGGCTTGGTTGGGGATCCAGGGGCGGAGCCCCTAGAAAAAATGCATATATTTTCAAGAGGCGCGTGCCTGGGCTGAAGCACAAGGTGCATACCTAGGCACACCAGGCATGCGCCTTCTAAAAGTGCTAGGTTAGGACCTAGGCAAGGCACATACCCTAAAATGTGCCTCGCTTGTGCATGCCTTTGAAGGAATTTGAAGGAAAGAGTGTGGCTGAGTGGCTTGATTGGGTGAGGATCCCAAGTGAAATGAAGAACTAGGAGGGGAGATTTGAGCAAGAGGAAATTAGGGAGGCTATTTTCTCAATGGATAGATGCGAAGCACCAAAATCGGATGGTTTCATAATGGCCTTCTACCAAGATTATTGAGACATTTTGAAAGATCCATTGGGAGTGTTTGAGGAATTTTATGAAAGAAGAGTAATTAATCTTGGCCTTAATTCAACTTTCATTGCGTTGGTGCCAAAGAAAAGTGATGCAACAAATCCTCGTGAGTTTAGACCCATTATCTTGGTAAATAGTCTCTATAAAATTCTAGCTAAGGTCTTATCTTTGAGGATTATGATTGCTCTCCCTTTCATCATCTCTCCAAATCAGGGTGCTTTTGTAAGGGGTAGGGAAATCGCTGACCAAATCCTAATTTCTAATGAATGTGTGGAGGGTTTCAAAAGAGTTGGAAAGAAAAGCTTTGTTTGTAAATTGGATTTGAAGAAAGCTTATGACATGGTGGATTTGTCCTTTTTGTTAGAAGTTTTGAGGAGTTTTGGATTTGGGGAAAGATGGTGTAAATGGATAAGAGGATGTGTTAAGACTTGTTATTACTCCTTGTGAATGAAACTGTGGTGGATTTCTTCATGGCCTTAAGAGGGATTAGACAAAGAGATTCCTTATCTCCTTTTCTATTCACTCTAATCGTTGAGGTCCTTGGAATGCTTACGTCTAGGGTAGACTCACAAGAGTTGTTGAGGGACTTGAAGGTTGGTTATGGCAGTGTTCCAATTACACACTTACAATTTGCAGATGATACTTTGCTTTTTTTGTGAAGGAGGAAATAGAAATTGGGTTAGGAATCTTAAGTCGACAGTATATCAGTTTGAGTTAATTTCCAACCTTCAGATGAATTTTGATAAAGGTTATATTGTGGGTGTTAATATGGAAGAAGGAGAGATGCTGGAGTATGCAAATATTTTGGGTTGTGAGGTGTCATAATGGCCGCCAAAGTATTTAAGGGCTTACTTTGCGGAATAATTCAAAAAAGAGCAAATTTTGGGATCTTGTAGTAAAAAGACTTGTCAAGAGACTTTCATCTTGGAAGAAAAGCTATTTGTCTTTAGGGGGAAGATCACACTAATAAAAGCTATGTTGGCCAATTTTCCTATGTATTTTATGTCTGATTTTAAGATTCTGATGAGTGAGTAGAAAATTGGAAAAGTTGATGAGGGACTTCTTGTGGGAACCAAGGGAGGAGAAAAAGGACCGTAGAGTTAGTTGGGAAATGGTGAGTAGATGCAAGAAGTTTGGTGGGTTAGGTCTAGGAAATTTACAAAAAAGGAATGTGGCTTTGCTAGGAAAGTGGCTTTGGAGGCTACTTGTGGATAAGGACAAGCTTTGGGCTGAGATAGTGATTGGCATTCATGGGCTTGTAGCTAACAGTTGGGATGTTGGAATACTGACAGGGCTACTAGAGTCTCTCCTTGGAAGGCCATCCATGTTATCCTCCTATCTTTCCTACCTTTTGTTAAGTATGACCTATATTCTGATAACCTTATAAAATTTTTGGAACTGGTTTGGGTGGCTATTCTCTCTTTGAAAGATATAAAGATAAACCTGTGTTCTCTTTCTTGTTCCCATCAAGCTCAAGAAATGGTTTTGATTGGGATTTGGGTTTGAGGAGGGGTGGGAGGGGTGTGAGGGTTTCTAAAATTGGTGAATTTTTGACTTTCTTCATATCCTTAATGGGGTTTACTTGGATTCCTCGAAACTTTACAGTCGTATTTGGACCCTATCCTCCTTTGGTGCCTTTTCTTGTGCTTCTTCTCCAAGGCCCTCATTCAACCTTTTGACTCTTTGGCGGTACCATTTCTGTAAAGGAGGTTTGGGGTAATCCTATCCCTCCAAGAGTAGGAGGTTTTTGTTGTGAAGTCTTCCTGGAAAGAATGAATACTTGCGATTTACCCCAAAGGAAAAGAATTAATTGGTGCTTATTCTCACATTGGTGTGCTATGTGTAAGGCTAATGAAGAAACTTGCTTTCACTTATTAATCTCCTGTCCTTTTGTAGCTAACCCATTTGCTGACCTCCTTTCCCATTGAACGATAATTGTCATATCTCCTGGACCATTTGAAGATTGCCCCTGCTTCCCTTGCTAAGCAGAAAGTTTCCCTCATTTGTTGTCTTTTGTTTGCATCCAGCCTAATAGTAACTTAGAATCTCCTTCATCCTCAAAGTTTTGCAGTCCCCATTGCTTAGCCAGCCTCAAGCCTTGAAGTAAAGCCAGTACTAAAGCTTTTAGCGAGTTACCCACACCTATTGGTCCAGAATATAGTGCAATCAGTCTCCCCTCCCTATCGTTGAAAGCTCCCCCAACTCTAGAGAAGAGTGGCATCCAGCCTCTAAGAAAGTATGAATGTCCTCAACCGAGTAATCTTGGAATATCTCAAGTGTTTTCAACTAGTGTATAATCTTAATAGTTATGCTGTCAATCACTTATTCTGTGGATCTTTCAATTCCTTGAAAGGTTTTGTTATTTCTTTCTTCCCAAATAGACCAGAGGATAGCAGTAGCAAAAATCCCTTATTGTAGTAAACCAGTCCCAAGAATACCTCTCCCAATCCTCCCAACTGCTGTAATTTGCATCAGAAAACCTACACCAAGTGACCAAACCAACTCTGAAACCTCTACTAGGAACCACCATGTCTGCTGCA